GAAGTGTCAATCGAGTCAAGGACTGCGTACCGCTAGAGGTTTGTATCTAATCATAGTTTAGGGTTTAGGGGTTAGGGGTTAGGGGTTAGGGGTTAGGGGTTAGGGTTTAGGGGTTTAGGGTTTAGGGTCTAGAGTTTAGGGGGTAGGGTTTAGGGTTTAAGGTTTAGGGTCTAGGGTTTAGGGTCTAGGGTCTAGGGTTTAGGGTCTAGGGTTTAGGGTTTAGGGGTAAGGGTTTAGGGGTGTTTCGCAGCGTGCATGTTTAGGGTTTAGGGTTGCACTCTGTCTATATACACCTCACACACAAACCCTAAACCCTAATTCCCCTAAATTCTAAAACCCTGAAAACATTAAATTATAAATAGTAAACCCTGAAAGCTAAACACCTCAACTTCGCCTGATGCACACTGCCTATACACCTCAGCACCGCGGTGTACTCGTCTCCACCCGAGCGGCTTGCATACACCGCAAAAAGCCAGTGGTTCTTATGAAACCGCTGAAAGTGTTGCTACTACTGCTGGGGATGCTGGTGCTGCTCACTCTGGTGCTGCTGCTCATGCTGCTGTTGCTGCTGCTGCTGCTGCTGCTGCTGTTTGACAGGACTTGGTGCTGCCTNTGCTGCTGCTCATGCTGCTGTTGCTGCTGCTGCTGCTGCTGCTGCTGTTTGACAGGACTTGGTGCTGCCTCAGGACCGCTCGCTGGCGGAGTTCGTCCGCTATATTCTGCAGATCGATCCAAGGAAACGACCAGACCCAAAGGAGGCTCTGCGGCACCCGATATTTTCAATGGGGAAATGAGCCGCTTTAGTTGCTGCTGCTTTTGCTGCAGCTCTAGCAGCAGCAGCAGCAAAAGCAGCAAATGAAACCGTTCCTCTGTGGCTTGAAGGAGGCTGCAACAATTAAACCCTTCTATATGAACTCGCCGCACTTCTAGCCTCCCTTCTGCTGCAGCGGTGCTGCTGCTGCTTACCTGGACCCTGCTCAGCCCCTTTGCCTTGCAGCAATGAGGGAAATTAGAACGCTACACACAGCTGACAGCAGCAGCAGCTGCTGCTGCTGCAGCTGCTGCTGCTGGCAGCTGGCTAACGGATGTACATGCGCATGCGTAGCTGCTGCAGTAGCAGCTGTTGCATATTGTTGCAGCCATCTCTCCCTGCTGCGGTTCAGATGTGGAAACAAGGCAAATGCTTCCCATGCTGCCGCTGCTACAGATGACAACACATGCATGCATGCATGCATGCACGCATGCAGGCAGGCATGTAGGCAGGCAGGCTAGCAGGCAACATGCATGCATACATGCATGCATACACGCAGGATGCAAAGCAAACAGGGGAGGCAGAAGAGGCAGACGTCTTTGGGGGTCTCTATCATATGAGCAGCCGACTGACCTGAAAACCGTTACTTGTCTATGCCTTAATTCATCACTTATATTTGTGTTATTTATTTTATTTCTTTTTTTCATCTCCCTATTGCGGCACCAGCTATATAACCTTTGCTGCACCGCCCGCAGCAGCAGCACCACCACCGCCACTACTACCTTGCCTTAGATGGCTTACCTTATAGACAGTTTCGCATAGCACACGGTTTCTCTTGACCCCAGTATAAGAATAACATAAGAATAACAGCAGTATTCATAGTAATGAGAAGGAATAACTAGGGTGAATGTATGAGGCAACGGAGAGAATGAAGTACAGAAGGGGTGCAAATACACCTGAACAGGCAACCCGCGAAAGAGAAGCGGAGAACAGCGAGCCATGCACGCCAACTTATTCACTGCAACAACAGCAGCAGCAACGACAGAGGAGGAGGAGGAGGAAGAACAAGAGGGGGATGAGGAACTTACGTGGAGGCACAGTGGAGACATAGAGAGCGCAGTACAGCAGCAGATGCTGCACAGCTCGGACTCAGCAGACTACAGATGGTGCTAGAAACCAAAACGGAGAGTTGTTGTTTCGTTTCCTAGCTGGCTGCATGCATGAGCATGCATGCAGGTATCCATCGGCAATGGCTTGACCCCAGTTTAGCTGCGTTCCTTGCTGCCACTTTCTTAACTGTGTTTTTCTTCCCCCCAAGTGAAACTTGTTGGGTTTGCTTTTCCCTCGTCTTAATGGAAAACTTTTTACGAAACGGTACTCTCTTTGCTAGATGAACTCCGTCACAACAACTTAGCGTTGAAAGCAAAAAGAAACAACAAGGGCATCTGATAACGCAATAGAGAACGGGGATGAGAAAGCCAGTAGGAAGCCAGTATCGTCAGCCGTCTGAATGAAGGCTAAGCCCAACAACACGACAAAAACTAAGCTAAATACCGAGCGGTGCTGCGAGCCAACATTTCGTGTTCTCTGGTTTATGCTTCAGAATGATGTTGCCTTCATTCTGGCAGCAAGGATAGGATTCACTGAAGGCCCGCACGCTGTCCGTATCTGCATGGTTCACGTGCGCTCCAGGGAACCTCAATGGATGCACGGATTGAGTGAGGACCACGAAATTTGGGGGAGGTTCTATACGGATAGTTTGTGCGTTCTGAAGGAATATGCGGAGGAAACTGCTTTCTGTCGGCACATTTGTGTACAAAATGCTGTTATACTTAATTGCATTTTTCACAGGAGTTGCGAAATATGAAGGAGGGCGTTTCTAATGAACTTCGAACGGTTCCGTATGTTCACCTCTTGTGGCTAAACTCCGTTAGGTTTCAGTTCTTGGTGCTCGTGTTTTGTATGGAAGTTATTGCTCTCCAGCAACAGAAGAGTTTCTCCATATGTAACTCAGCAGCAGGTGCAACAAACATGCGTAGTATAGACAAGCTATTGTAAGCGATGCTGCAGCGTAGACGGGTGGCAGTTACAGCGCGCAACATCTGCAGCTGGTTGTGTCTTCGAGTCAATCAGAACAGTTAGGAGAGCCCAGCAGCAAGCTGCTACTGTCCTTCAGGCGCAATCCATATGCACGTGTACGTTGTGTTGAGAACCGGAGCAACAAGCGAAGGAAGAGTGCATAGGATGTTAGGTTTTTTTGAATGTTTTGTCTTCACTATGCTGGATATATTCTTGTTTATGTTATACTCAGTATTTTAAGTATTTTAAATATATTATTAGGTACATTATCTAAAGTATTCGTATTCATTTATTTTGTGTTCCGTCTACAGTAATATGACTCGACTGTTATAACACTTGTGCCTCTTGCATATTTAGTAGAACGGAACACAAGAGGAATTCCATGGATATGGATATAAATCCTTAAGCCTCACCCTTGCGGTGCTGCAGTAAGCCATGCAAACATGGAGAGGTATCTTTATCAGCTGCATACATGTAAACGTACACCTATCTCAACAAGACTGCTCTGCGTTATTGTGAAGCCGTTCATATGGTAGCCCCATTGCGCATCTTTGAAATGTTGAAAATTCAGAAGTAAGCCGCTCCACATTTTCCAGTACACCCATCAGAATTTGTCAATTACATGTATTAGCAGTGCGGCCTTCGACAGGAACAAACACCATGAACACGAAGTAGTTGCGATCTAAATACACAGTACCACAACATTCGCTTTTGCCAGAAGATGGGTTTTCTTCTCACTACATTGTAAGGCACTTAGGTCCTGCTTAGTGTGTCAGCTCAAACCCAGGAGAGAAGAGCCGCCACAACCATGGTTCCCTCATCAGAGTCATTGCATGGATTTAGTTATGTACCGCGTAGAGGAATAAATGCATGCATTCATATTTGTTCGTTTACAGAGCGCCACAATACAGCTTGCGAGCGCAGTAGTTTCTTGAGAAGTAGCAAACGGAAACACTGAACAGATGCACGCGTACTCGCTCTCTAGTCTGCAACGTGTCAGTGTGTCGGTTAGGCGTCGGTAAGTATTAATTTGTATACCACCTGCATACGGAGCCGAAAGATCCTTCGTTATAACATATTTTCTCTATCCTGCTATCATTTTGTCTGGAAAAAACTCTAAATATAGTGTTCTATTCATACTCGAACACTACAATATAGATATTATGCAACTAATACCTTGTAGGCCTGACGCACACTACACATGATATTTGTCTTGAGAAAAAATACATTCGACCCGCAACTTCGGCATTGCAGTGAGAAATATCAAAGAGCAGAGGACTCAGATACGAGGATTCACAAACATTTACTGTTTACAAACTTATGGCGGTTTGTGTTGTTCTCGCATTCAAGCAGCGTCAGTGGAAATGTAGACTCGATCGAGATCAGCCCCGCCAGACAAATGCAGGCGGCGTGATATAACCTACGCATGGGACCGACGGCACAAAATACGCTTATCAGCGAACTCCACACTATATTTAAAATTAGTTTTCGTTAAGGTTTTTATGTCTAAGGCAAAAATTGCAATGGTTTGAGAGCTTAACTCTTTCTGGGGGCTCGAGAACAGCAGTCTCGACGAGTGAAGTTCCTTGTATTTGCGCAGCGATATGAGGGGATTTAGATCGAGACCTCCCACATTCAATATTTTTTCCCGCAGCAATGCTGGGGCAGGATTCATGCCCACTTACTTGAATTATGTGGCTATGTAGGAGTTTGGGGTGACCTTGCTTAGGCGGGTTGATGATATGCTGGGGGGTGATTTCTCATGCTCCTCTGTCATGCAACTTCATTTCCAGCATTCCTTTCAGGGCTCCACTCACACCAATGCAAATAGGCTGTTTGGTGAAAACTCCATTACTTTTTAAATGAACTGCGGGTGAACTTCTGCGACTGACGCAACAGCTGGGATCATCGACTTCAAGGATTCACATATTTCCTCAATCAACTCCACTCGTCGATATTCTTCGGCTTTTGTCGAGGTAATTTGGCCGCTATCTGACAGCGACATCCTACCTTCAACGCGGCTTTCGGCATCACTGCTGGAGCACGGTGCCGCCCAACGTACATGAATTAGGAGGCTATGCAGGAGCTTGCGGTGACCTTGCTCAGGCGGGATGGAGTTGGTGTGTGGGATTCTTCATCACACTCCTCCACCTTGGAATTTGATTCCTAGGGTCACGTTTCCGGCATGATTAAGGCAATGGGGGCATTTTTTTGTCGGAGCCTGCGATGGCTCTGCATCACCAAGCTTGTTTTGCGGGCAACTCGTCGTTCCCTGTGATGATGCAACTTGAATAAGCAACGTTTCAAGGCCGTTAGAGCTTCGGCGGCACGCACAGGTGAGAAGAAAACACGAAGCATGAAAAATACGTTTGTTTTGAGGAGGCAGGAAATGCGAAACCTAGAGGCATTCATATGGTTTGAAAGAGCGTTGTTGTTCACATGAGAGCAGTTAGACGCAAGAGCAACGTCTGCTGATTGGTGCTGCGGTTGCGGATGATGCGGTATTGTTCGGGAGAGCAGCGTGTGCTGTTTGGGGCTGTGGTTATGGATGAAATTGTGTTGTATTTTTGGCGTCGGAAGGGCTGACGCCGTGTTTGTTTCGCCACAACGAGCGCAATCGGGCTGATGTCAGTCGTTTGCTGTTGGCCGAGCTGTGGAAGCTGAAGAGGTTTTGCTGTTAAATCTCTTCTTATTCACTGACAGTGTAGGGTTGTGTGGGCAGAGAGTAATGGCTGCTTCACCTGTACGACAGAGAGGCCCGGCGGGAACAAGGCTTGTGTGTGAAGAAGATTATAGGCCTTCTGGGGAAAGCTACGAGCAGATGCAGTAATGTCGTCACGTCTGCTTCACCTGTACGCCAGAGGGGTCCGTTGGTAGCAAAGGTTGTGTGTGAAGAAGACGACAGGCCCTCTGGGGAAAGCTAGGGGCAAATGCACTAAGCGTTTGGAAATGCGTTTCCCTGATGATAGCTGCGTTTTCGCCGCACAGTTGTCGGTGTTGTGTCGGTGTGGTTTGCAGAGAATATGGGGAATGAAGGTTATGGCGATGGAAATGCTCATCTTGCGTCTCTTCTCAGCCGCGTTCACCTGCCAAGAAGGACGGCAAAGGGCCACCGTTCCCTTGGAGTGATCAGAGAGAAGAAAGTGGGATGGATGATTTGGGCGCTGGAAGGTCACCGTTCGTTGGCATAGGGCTCGTGGTTGGCGTTGGCGATTGCTGACATGGTATGTTACGTACTGACAGGCGTCGTCAGCGGCTGAAGGCATGAGGTTTGATGGTACTTGGACAAGCGGTGGGACAGCTCTTGTGGCGGTGGGAGTACCATGTTGCGCTTGGTATTTCGTGGGCCTCTGGTTCATCGAGTATTTTCTCTTGTGGGGATTTTTCTAGCATACAAGGCAGAACAATCGTATAACAGAGGGCGGGTGACTCTCGAATTCCCATCATTGTTATCCTTTAATGCTTTAAGGAGGATGCTAGAAGCAACAATCGGGATTTTTCTCTCTTCTTGTTTGCGCTTATCCTCGGGCCTTATGGAAGAAATGAGGTGATGTGGGACGTTGGTCTATTCACCGACAGCGTGTTTGCTCGGCTTGGGGCTGTGCTTCTCTGCGTGGGGAAACTGTTGACCGTCCCATGCGTGCATGAGGGGCCCTTGTGCGGATGGGCTGCAGGTGACCGCTGGCCTGGAGGCCAGCGAGCAAGCACGAGCAAACTGCGATTGCGAGAAGACGACGGTAGCTAATACAGGCGCATAGACCTCTTCCTTTGGAGGGGCTGCCATTACTACATACAAAACCAACCCATGGTTGTCGCCGTCAACCTGCGCTGCAAACTGGAGCGTGCTTGTTTCGGTGAAACTGCTCAGGTCACCTTTCTACTGCCAGCCTCGGCCATCGCTACGACAGATCTGAGGTGCGGCAGCCAAGGCTCTCGAGTACCTTCGTCCGGTTCCCGCATAATTCAGAAGAATACAGCTTCGTTAGTATGCTGTGTGGGAGTTGTGGGTGGGGTTGCTTGAACAAGAGGGTTTCGCGGGTGATTCTTTCCTGTGATGCAGCATCACGAATGCATTTCAAAGTGGTCTCAAATTCCACGGCTTAGGGACGTGGAAGGCAAGCACAAGGCGTGTATAAAATTGTTCTGAAGAGGCACGAAACGCGAGAAGAAGAGACATGCGGCAGTTTTTGCAGAAGGAGCATGTGAAGTGGAGCGCTCGAGTACTTGGGCACTTGGGTTTTTTTGCTGGGGTGGTCAAGTTGTGGCTACGCAACGATTGGTGTGAGGGGTCAACCTTGTGAGCAGCGCTGGACATGAAGGAGGTGGTGAGCAGCGTTTGCTGCTGATAGTTGATATGAAGGGTGTTGGTTAGGTTGGGTAGGCGCCTGAATAAATAGGCCCTGCGTTTGTTTTGCTGGAAGACAGGATCCCTTGTTGAACTGGATGCTTCACCTGTACGACAGAGAAGCTGGATGTTTTCAAGGGCGTGGTTGCGAG